GACCCGATTTACATGAATTCAACCGCTGGTGGCGGCACCAGCGGTGTGGTCATCAACTGGCCGGACGATGTGGGAATTGGAGCCAGTGCTGCAGCTGCGGACGACGACGACGACCTCTATGGCTGAGAGCTGCAGAATTGGAGCTAGTGCTGCAGCTCGCGCTTTGCCCTGTACAGGGGGTCTGAGGCTGACACCAGAAGACTATTTCGCAATCTGTCAATCAGAGTAGCGACCTAGCACAGACAAGCTATTCACCGTCCGGCACGAAAAGGGGCAGGGAATTGCAGGGGATAGAGCGCGCAATTGCATGTTGCACAAACGGTTCATCCTTGTACAGTAGCACCGCTCGCATGTTGGCTTTCGTTCGGCACTTTGATCACCAGCAATACATAACGCCAGAGAAATTCTCCAACCTCCATAGCATTGCCAGCTGCAGCCATCTCAATTCTGCCGACACTCACGATAGGTGTAGACGGGAAAGGGTAGTGTGACATCAGAGAATGAAGCCATGGCAAGATTTTTGCCCAGAGGCATCCGGTGTAAGCATGAGTCATGACAGATGGCTCCACGCAAACATGTCCAAACGCGTGTTTCTACCAGCCGCGATGATAGATCGTAGCAACGCACCACCATCGATTTGATTCGGAGACGTCAGCAAGGCACAGAGACAGTCGCAACCGACAGCGAGCAAGTCTGAGACACTTGTGGCCGTCGGCCCTGGCGCCAGGAGCGGTGCAAGCTGCTCCAGGCGGCGTCTGGACAGCTCCAAGGCGCTCGAATGCCAGTACCATGCCGTTACCATGCCTTATAATAGGATTAATAGGCGAGTGCCAACTAAGGGCTAAGAGCTGCGCTTTGCTTCCTTGGCCTTGCAATAATGGCGAGTGCCAAAGGGCCAGAAGCTGCGCTTTGCTTCCTTGCAGGCCTGGACCTGACCGCTGTCACCGTTGTCTCGGTGAAGTCAGAGAGCCTGGCGCTCGCAAAGCACGAGTGTGCCGAGCTTCCGGAAAACAGCCAAGGCCTGGCCATCTGTCCAAGCACCGATTCGTCCAGAAGCAAAACCTGCGTGGAGAATCCAAGATCGAGTCAATCCCATTTGGGCGTAATCATGGGAGGATGGGACGACAGCATCTTCTTGATGGGCTTCGCCTCAGACGCGCAGTCGGAGGACTGCAACGGGCAGGAAGTCTTGCTGAAAGTTGAGTTGCCATATAAATATATTCGAGTACCACGAACGCTACATTGATGAGAGTTGTTGTCATACTCATCATCGTGTCTTCTGGGCCAATGGCCCTCAACTCCATCTCGTTCTTTGCTTGTAGATTTCACCGTTTGCAGCCGGAGGCGTTGAGCGAATTGCACAGCAGTCTGGGCATCAGCGACCTGCAGGCTGAGTGAGCACCTGGCTTTTGACTTGTTGGTCTTTCTCTCTCTGACTTCGCCCCTGCATGTTGATCTGCATGTGTGTTTGTTTATTACGGTTATCATGCGGTAACTCCGACACGCACCCAGGCAGGCAGGCAGGCAGGCAGGCAGAGAGACGGACACAGAATCACGCACACACAGAGACGCAGCCACAGACACAGGCACACACACACACACACATACGTATTCTCTCTCGCACACACACGCACACAGACACGGACGGTGATGCACACATAATGCACGCGGGAAGGGTGGATCACAACAATGGGCATGAGCCAGCTGCGTGACGACGGATTGCGCGACAGTGAGATGTCGGTGCCGTTGAGATGTCGAGTCTTCTTCAAGCCTTGGGCCTCACAACTCACACGCTACTCTACCTGTGAAGACTGATCGCACATATTGGTTTACATGCTCCCAGCCCAGCAACAGTGCAAAGAAGCCTTGCTCTTCGTCTTTCGGAACCACTGACTTGCGATTGACCCACGTGAAAGACATAGAAGTTTAAGTATGGCTGTTTCGAGCTACCATATAGGGCAACTTGAGGCTGGGATCGGCAACCTGTTGACATGACTGTTCTTCTCGTGGAGGTGGCTATCAACAAAGCCTCTGGACCGACACCGCCAGGTTGCGCCGTTTGCGAGGCAAGGAGCATAATCAGCTGAAAACAGACTGATGCAAGTAAGCAGGACATCCGAGCTACTACTGTAGCATGTAACAGCCTGCATGTAATAGGTACTGATTGCCAGCAATTTTGTTCTTAAGTCTAGAACTAAGAACTGCTTCAAGTTTGGCTGCTGGAATCACAGGGATCGTCAGTACTGTGCCAATTTGGGAGCTTTTGTGCATGCGCAAAGTCGTGTAGTGCCCGATGGAGCTTATTATGCGCTGCATCATGCAGGGTGTACCTGTACTGTACACGGCTCACATTAGCACGTCTTTGGACCTGAAACTGTAGGGAAAGAAGTGCCTTTTTGAATCTCAGTAGCAAAGAGAAAGATCACCCTCGTGGAGGCATGTCTCACTTGTTGGAGCCGCTGCGCAGTGTCTCCGGCCGATGCAGTTGCTTTGCCGATAAAAGAGGTTCCCCAAATTCGAAGAGAGCTTGCAGCAAGCAGCGATTTCCAATACGCCACGGCGATGGCTCTGTTTGCAAGCCATGTATCTACGTTTAGTAGCCCTTCCCTGGCAGCCAGCATGCAGCGATTGAGGAGATTGTTGCGAATTGTTTGGGGCCTCGTAGATTCTCGTCTTAAAGTGTTGCTCATGCAGTTCATTGATGTTGCTCGCTGCGCAGCTACAAATGGAGGACTACGATGGCGCACTCGGAAATGATCATGATGATGATGGTTAGGATGAGGATGAGGATGACAAAGCTTTTAGGTGCAAACGTAATATGTCGTCGTGGGCAACGTTGTGATGACAGCAGTGTCCCTGGATAGGCTGCGTGATGTTTCAATTCAACGCCATCATGATCCATCATGCTGCGAATGTATTCCGTGCACGCCCACCAGCTCATCTTCACAGTAGTTGTCAGTTTCCACGGTTACAGCTGCTCCTGCTGCGGCTGCAGCTTCTGCGACGTCTTTGCTTTTGCTGCTCATCTTTTCGCAACCACACCTTCCACCACTTTGGTTGCTGCAACTGCCAGCGCCGCTGATCGCTGGAGGTACCGCGAAGCGACGTCGGTCAGCTGAGGGCATTGTTGGAATCCGCGGTGGCAGGGGCTGGCGGCCCTGCACTCCTCAGGCCTTCATACCAAGTCTATCAGCGGATCAGAGCTTGGGTTTGCAAGCCGACCCTCCGGTTTGTGTTGTGCTGTCCCTGCAGGCTGTCAGAGCATGATGAGACCTGGGCGACATGGCATCGAAATCACGCTCGCGGGCATCGGCTCTAGCTGGGCCGATGATTATACTACTACACGTAGTACTAAGTTCACGTATACTTACAGAGCGTAACTGTTCGCAGCTCGGTGCCTCAGTGGCCACCCAGAAGACCCCCAAAGCCGAGCTAGCAGCTAGCATGCTCAGTTCGGGGAAAACGCAAATACATCAAAGACAGCCTCACGTACAGGACTCGAAAGTTGCAAGACAGTGGCACGATTTGGCAAAGACGAGCCTAGACTGGCATGGCTCCGGCCCTCTTCCGGCAGCAAGTCGCGAAGTCGAGCACTGAGGTGACATCCACCGGTACGACGGCAAAAAGGGCAGCGCAGATTGAAGGCGGATGCGGCACGTGGGCAGCATGCTGTAGCCCTACCGTCCAAAATGTTGCCACCACCAAGACTGAAGGAGGCACGCAGAAGTATGATGTGTTGCATCTGGTCAGACTCCACTGTGTGTGTTCTAAAGGAACTTACAGTAGCTCGGTTCACAAAGGAATCCGTCTTCTGCTTTTCCAACATCGTTGCCATCCTTGCTGTTGTGCTTGTGGTGATTGCCTGGCTTGTTGTCAAGCTTGCGTTCGCCATCATACTTTAGGCTTAAGGCTTATAGGGTATAGGCTATAGGAGCATACAGGAGCAGCCATATAGGAGCAGCCATCGTCGTCGTCATCGCAGTATAGTAGTAGCTGGTACTAGTGGTGGTGGAAGCAGTAGCTGCAGCATTAGCGGTAGGAGTGCGAGTAGGAGTAGGAGGAGTAGGAGTAGGAGTAAGTAGTAGGAGTCGTAGTCGTAGTCGTCGTCGTAGTAAGTAGTAACTAGTCAGAAGTCGTAGTAGTAGTAGTAGTAGTAGCAGCAGGAGTAGCAGTAGCAGTAGTAGTAGGCAGCAGCGGTAGCAGTCGTAGTCGTAGTCGCAGTGGTAGTGGTAGCGGTTGTAGCAGCAAGCAGTATCATCATTATTATTTTTATTATCAGCAGCAGCAGCAACAGCACCAACACCAGCAGCTGCAGCAGCAGTTGTAGTGGTCGTAGTGGTAGTGGCTGTGTTTTGTGCAAGGTTTTGTTGTTATTATTGTTGCTGTTGCCGTTGTTCTTGTTGTTGGTACTTATATTCTTGTTGATTTTGATACTGTCCTTGTGTCTGTCGCTACTGGTGGTGCTGGTGCTGGTGCTGCTGCTGCTGGTGTTGGTCAACACGTGAATTGCACTGGCCAGGTTTTGCACCGGTCGTTTGCCGCAATGTGCTAGGCCGATACGTGGAGCCTTGGCGAAAATAACACCGACTGATGTTTAAGTACCTCTGGTGGAGGCGACGGTGGAGGGGAGCGCAGCAGCTTTCTCTCCTAGACCCGGTGTGCGCAGACGGGTATGTCCAACAGCTGCAAAGTCTGCCGCATAAGCTGCAGTCCCGCCTTCGGGACCTTAGATGATCTGCCTGAATTTGAGTCGCGACAACTCGACACAAAACTCAAGTTCCTCAGGTGCTCGCCGAGGCGGTTTGCTGGTGCCCCAAGAAGCCATGATTCAAGCAGCTGTCAGTCGCACATGCTCGTTTAGATCTTAAGGCACATGTCCCACTCGCGCAGTTGATTTTGCAACTGGCTGGAGATTCAAGCGCATGACACGGGTCGATAACACGAGCATCCTTCAGCATCTCTTCTACGTGCACCACGGGCCCAACCAATAGTTATTGATGGACTAAAGTTGCAACGTTTAGAGAATTAATATCTCGGCGTGAGATCTGCGGTTCCCCGAGCCGAGCTTGTCGTTGGGGTATCCACAATGTTTACTCTTGCTCTTGAGTTCTTGTCGCAGCAGGATTGTGAAGCAGTTAGAAGTGGCCTCTAACAAGTGGAGAGAAGGTACGAAGGCTTCTGGCAGGGGCAGATCCTCAAGGACAGCTGCTTTTGCGCAAATCAAGGAGTAGTGAGCTCTCACGAATGACCCTCAAAAGGCACGGTGCCTCGCCGGCCCAGCATTAGGCTGGCCGAAACCGGAGGCTCGGAATTTCGGTTTCACGGACGGTCTGCGCTTTCAATTTCAACTTGAAGCTTCGAAAAGCGGGGTGATATCGGAATTGAACACGACAGGCCTGAAGCTCAATGAGTTGGCAACATGCAGTAAGTGTAGTAGTGCTAGTGGTAGTTTTCGTCGTTGTGCTGCTGCAGGAGTCCCTCATGAACCATTTGGCCAACAAAATACGAGCTGAAATATGTTTACACTATGCACTCATTCATTCATACATATACACATGCAGATGCGTGCACACACACGTAGATCGGAGATATAGAGATCCAGATACAAGGAGACAAGTACATTCATGTAAGAGTACTTGTCCGTATTGGTATCACATCCGCCGCGACAGGTCCCTCTCCGTCTGGCGCCATCGGGAAAGCTCGGAGACTGGTTGGAGGGACAGGAGGCAGCTGCTGCCTGGTGGAATAATTACTGTAGGGACCAGCTGCTGGTAATGGCCGCCTGAGCTTTCCCGGCACCTCTTGAATCCTTCGGGCTATTCTGGAGTGCAGAGTTGCTGTGAGACTGACTCCCTGTGAGACTGAGGTAGGAAGCACACTCGATCTGCAACTTGTGCTTCGTTTGGCGGCGATGAGTTCGAACGGTACAGAGGCTTGAGCATGAAGGGGGTTTCCCGTTCTTTGGAGCTTCTCTGGTGTGCCAGGTTACATGGTCGTTGCCGTCAGAAACAAAGGAAGCGTTTATCGGTGGGAAGAACTGTGACATCTTCTACTTTTCCGGGATCCTCTCGGCGGAGGACTGTGCAAAGCTGGTCGCCATGGCGCTCTGTTTCCAGCAGCCCACTGCTAAACGACAGCCAGCCACCGCTGTGCCGCTCCCTGCCCACTGTCACGTGCCCGAGGCCGTGGAGACGCGATTGAGATCTGTGATGGCGACATGTACAGGAGAAGCGGCAGAAGATGGCTCCATGTTCGACATGACTGACACATCAGAGGTAGAAGCTGCACTCGTTTGGGAAGAGGCAGAGTCTCGGGGACTTCGCGGCAGTCGATGGACTTCGGCTGGCATGGAGGTTGCAGTCCGGCTCACTGCGTGGCTTTCTCCCACAACCGGCGGCGAGATTGTTTTTCCTGAAGCAGGAGTGTCTGGATTGAAGATATTCATATCATTGTGACTGGCTGGGTCACCCTTGCATCCTAACCCGAACCCCAAAGTTTCACAAGTAGATCGACACCAGTACACGATCCTTCAGTGCATTCCTCTGAGCTGATTTCTGGTTTTAATGCGAGTATTCTTTGATTTTTGGGTTGCAATGCTGACAAGCTTGTGTCGTGTATGCGAATCCTGGTTCTGAAGCAGATGCTCCCCCCACGCACAGATGCACCCGAACAAAGATGCAGCCGCCAAACTTAAGATCCTTGGCTTCACTGAGGTTTGTTTGGACACGGACCAGGATCTGATGGGGAACGAACCTTCGGAGCGAGTGCTGCAGCCGCTGCCAGGCAGCGTGGTCGTCGTGACCCAGCATGAGAGTTGGGAGCTGGGCTCTTCTTTTTTTCAGGATAGGACTCCAGGCTTTTTGGGTCAGTGACACTTGGACATGATTTTCGGAGAGATCAAGATTCCCACCTCGTCCGTGAAGCAGCAGAGACTGTCACAAGCTTCCCGCAGCCTGCAACCGAGAGCTGTGCCGGCATGATCGGCATATATCGGCATGCTTGCATCATCAGGTCGTCTTCAAGTCCCAGGAAGGGTGCTGTCAGCTTCGACGTCCAGCATCCCATGGCCAGTGGACGCTGCAAAAGCTTTGGAAGCACTGCTCGAAAAAGGAAAACGCAGTGATTTTGGTAGATGTTGCTTCAAGTGTAGGTTGGGAGAGGAGACAAACGTGCGATCCGTGCAGTGAGTTGCAATATAAACACGCCGGATTGGCTCGCCTCATGCTGACCCGTATGCTGTCTGTTGCTCAAGCTAAAGTCGAAGTGGGGCAATGACAGTAGTTTGAGGGCCGGTTGCGTCCCGTGACAGCAGGCTGGCAGACATTCATGCGAAGGTAAATTGGGAATTCTTGCAGACTGCATGACGACCTGTCCTGCATAGGTCACTGGGCAGTCGGACACCCCCTAATGGTACAGATATTGTCCGGCCCTTGCCAAGTGATCCACGCAGCGTGCCTGCCCGGTGTTTCACGCTCGGCCCTGTAGCTCTCGCCGAGGCGCCGGCAGTACTTGGGCCTCTTCCTCTTGCTGCTTGTTGCCTGCTTGGCCCCGGGCGCAGAGGCTGCAATCACCTGCGTGAAGGCACGGCTCTCCGCGGCAAAGATCCCCACCACATCGCGAACGTCACAGCAGAAGCACAAATATCCTTCAGACCGGGTTTTGAAGAATTAGTTTCGGTAGTCCACTCAGCAGTCTAACCCATACCGCATTGCAAGGACACGCTGTGTGCTCAAGCAAGCAAGCATTGAGTCTCGTGCCAGATAAAGCGCTGGATTGAATATGTGGCCATTTGCTGCTGCACGTGTGCGTGCCAGCCTGAGAACTGACCCAGCAGCGGTGTTTAGCAGGATCAACGGTGTGATCGAAGGAATGACTGAACCCTCCGTATATCCTGATCCAATGCCGGTGTCGTTGGCTCATTCCGCTCTCAGGTCTATCATGTGTTCTGTGCTGGTGCTGTTCTTCTTGACCAACAAAACAGGCGGCGAAGACGCAGGTCCTTGGGAAGGCCTCCTGGTGCCAACCGACGAATCACGAGGGGGAAAGCCCAACCTTAACCTTTGGCCCGCACGGTTGACCCTAGCACTTTGCGAGCAGGCCTGACCGTTTGATCGGCAACTAGCACAGGGCCATAGGGCAACAAAATACGATATAGTAGAGTATCGTATATAGCATTATAATCGTATAGCCTATTTAGTATCATAGAATGCAGCCCATGCCCTGGAAGAATGGGAATTTCCGAACGAGACCAACATGACAGCGGGCGGCGCTGCAAGACGACTTTGGATCATGCGACCTGGCGGACCTGGGATCGGAGCGTAAATTCCACACCCCACATTCCGCCTTGCAAACACGCTGACTCTGACTCCTGACTGATGTCATGCATGCCATTATTTGATCTTAAATTTCGAACTGGCAGGCACTCTTGAAGACCCAGTTTGGCAACTTTTGGTTTTAGAGGAAGGAGTTACGTGGGACTTGGATTGCCAAGGCTGCCACAGGAGCTGAGACGTACCTTGCGACGACTGTAGACACTGCGAAGCAGAGGTCTAGAGGGGACTGGGGTCGAGCGCTGGCCGTAACCAGTGACAAAGCAGCTGCCTTGATTTCCACTGTTTGGGAGCATCGGCTTCAGGGGGACTTTCACTCCACGCGGGCTTCATGACGGAGCTCCTCGATGCCAATGACCGCAGCATTTGGCTCAAACAGAGAACTGAGCGTGGGAGACGCAGAGAGGCGCACTGGAGCTGACACGTACAACGCTTCAGCTGTTTTCGGATTGGGCAGCGCCCTGCTGGCAGAATTCACCAGTTGCGAACAGATTGTGTAGCCCAACTGAGGGGCACCGATTTTGCACGTAGCTGTCATCATAGCCAAGTCAGCTGGGGGGGTCAGCTTTATTCACACAAGTCTTGCTGCGAACGGCCAGGAGAGCTGCATGACGGTCAGCATGTCTGCAAGTGCGAAGGGCTCAAACAGTACTAGTGCATCGGCTGCTGGGTTCTGCTGTCGAGTTGAGACATTGGGACTACTCTGAAAGTAAAGACGCTAAAACCAAGCTGTTGCATTGTTGGATTGTCCGTACATCTGCTGACTGCATCTCGAGTCGAGGCGCTCTACAGCCGATTCAGGCGCACGATCCCGCTCTTTTTGTTTTCTTTGCAAGAGTAAATCGATGCTATTCTGTGCCAGGGGGCTCGATTCCAACAAAGATGGACTTTTGGAATGGGCCCGAGCCCCAACGGAGACGTGACCCTCTGAAGATCTTCCTTTCTGAGGTGGAGTGAAACTCTCACATGAAAAGGGGCCGTTCATAGTCACATCTTCGTGTGGCGACCACCAACAGGAGGAGTTCTATGAGTGGATCTCCGAGGACGACTGCGACATGACACGAGGAAAGGACAGAGCCCCAGAATCAGCCAAGCACAGATGGTGCGAGCTTCAACTCGAAAATGGCAGGGAGGGGTTAGTTTTGGTAAAGGTGGCACACGCGCCATGCAGCATTGCCCGCGAAGCCAAGGCTGAGCAGATCTTCCAAAAGGTCGACGGCGACGGCGACGGGAAGGTAGGAATGTGTGATGACCGAAGCCTACAACTGCCACATCCGCGCGACCATACTCGTTCAAACCCTTTCTGTTGCAGTTGTCTTTCGGCGAGCCGCGGCCTGAAGTTTCGTTTCGTTTTGCCTTGCAAGGGCGTGCCGGAGAGCGCTACCGGAAGTGAGATAAGCGGTTCGGTATCCTGCAGTGAGCCTAGGTTCGTGAAATGCTGCAAAGACTTCATGGGCATCCAGCTTCTTGAACCCAAGCAAGAAGAGCCGGCGACAGACTCAGAACGCTTCGGCAGCTTCTGGCCGTTTCAGAAGATCATTGGTGCCAGTTTAGTTTCTGAAGCTGCTGCCATGCCTTCGCAAGCTAACTCTAAAGGCTCCTCCTGCCCCAGCTGCCCCTGCAGAGCAGGCAGGGCTGTTTGCAGTGGTATGTTGAGGCCGACACCAAGGCTGCACATTTGTGAGGAGACATTTTCAGGTTGCATGTGAGGTGCCAGATAACAGCGCCGGCGCCAATGCTGTTTGCAGGCTGAACAGCTCGAGCAAACCATCCAGGCGGTCCAGCCCCAAAAGGCTGTTGAGGACAGCCTGATGTGTTCTTTCCGTGGCAGAAAAGCTCTGGAATGATTTTGCCAGGTGGTGTTGTTTTCCGTGTTTTTGAGGACTAGTGGAATAGCGCTACGCCGCGCGTTTGTAGGACTATTGCTTGCTGCACTCGGCAAGGAAGTCCATGCACCGGTGAAAGAAGCGGTTGTGCCGAGGAAGAAGGCATCGTCGGGAACTGGATGCCAATGAGGATGAGTAGACTAGACCACAGCTGACGAATGCTGAAGGGAACGGACGTTTTTTGAGTCAGAGGCAGGCAATAGCGAGGTAGCCGGCGAGGGACCTCGAATGAAATCAAAATTCGCGGCAGGATGTTAGCTCGCTTGCGCCGTGCCGTTTCTGGCCGAGTGGAAGAGTGAACCGGTCGGGTGCCGGGATACTACTCTCGACCCAAGCGAGATGGACGAGACCAGCAAACCATCATTAACAAACTGTGTGAGCAAGACCGGCGGCTCGTTCTGGTGGTGGAGAAATACTGTAGCCGCAGCAGTAGCAGCAGTAGTAGCAGTAGCAGTAGTGGTAGTCCTAGTCGGCTAGTCGTGGCAACAGGCTCCTAGACTCAACCATGCCGATAATCATGTCTGTGCTTCTCCTAGTATTCATGAGTGGTCTGTCTGGCAGCTAGCTATGACAGCAACAGCATGCAAAACCAACGTCAAGTTATGCTCTTGGTCCGAACAGTGACTGAGCCTTTGACAGTCCACAAAGCAAACACCCAAGAAGGTGTAAAGCCCTAGGGCCACTCTTCTGTACGGCCCTCCTGCCTAGCTTCCCTGGGCCCTGCCTGGAGGCAGCGGACAACGCGCCCCGGAAGACCGCTACGACGGAGGGTGCCATTGTGTCCCGCCGGGCCGGGGCCGAAGAATGAGTGTCGGGTTTCAGTTTCGGCTTCGGATTCCGTGGATAAATCTCTTAAGGAGCCGGACAAGGACCCCTGATTTCGGGCAGTTTCGTTTGATCCCCACGGGTGCAGATAGCTCAGCAGCCTAGCTTTCTGGTTTGAGTCCGGCATCGGGAAGCATCTTTGCAGGCTGGATGATTGGAAGCAAGCATTCAGATTCTATGGTGCATGTTGCATGTTGCCGGTCATTCGAGGACTCCGTGCCGCTCGAAGAGTGCTTGGACCATTTTTGTACCCCTTGGTATACCGGCTCTTGTCTCGCCTGACGTGCTTGAATTGGCGCATTGGTCTCCTGAAATCGAGGCAGGGAGCCTCCCGAACCTGCTCACGAGGCCACCAGAGGAGTGTTGGCATTTTTGATCTGCGCAGCTTTGCACAATCCTTGCAGCTGAAAGCAAGAAGCGACACAAGACTCACGTGGAAGTTCTAGATTCTAGATTGGCAGGCGTTCTACGGGCGGCAAAGCAGCTACCATGAGCATCAGCAGCCTTCAGGACATGCAATGACATCAGACTTTTTAGCATGTTTTGTTCAGTCAAAGCTCCGGCCTCGTCCGAATGACTGCCGGTGAGTAGACCGGAGGGGGGGGAGGGTGTTGTCTGCTGAGATTTAGGGAATCTACTGACTAATTACCATAGTTCGTAGCTCGTATGACGTGGAATCCTTCCAGATTGAATCAGGGTCAAAGGCTTGGAGACCTCAGCGCTTTGAACCGCAGGAGCCTGAGATTCCTGGAGCACACAAATCGCGCATGGCGCCATCGCTGCCGACACCGGGACCAGGAGTCGCTTGGACGCAAGCTCGTATGCAGCTGATGTCATAGTTGTGACCTTCGGAAGTTATTTCAGCGGTTTGGCCAGGAATCGGGGGAGCTTGCCTGGATTTCCCATCCCAGACGAATTTCTGACCCGGTTGGAGCAGCATTTTGGTTCCCTAAAGCCGAGCCCCTGCACTTGCTGCCCAACAATTCCAGGCATACAACAACACCGTGTCTGAGAAGGCTCGGCTAAGATGGGTCACTCACACAGTCTGCCACGAGGACGTCTGATGCAGGATGACGCATGCAGGGCTGAGTGTCTTGCTTTTTCCGAGAAATCAGATGTCGGAGCTTGTTTATGGCGGCTTCCTCCCGCCGTGGGTAGGTACCTGGCGGCAGTTACTTCGGAACCGGGCACATCACGGCTGTCGGCCTAGAGCAGTTTTTGCGCTGGCGTGTTTCATTGTATTGTAATGTCACTGCATCGCCCTTAAATGCTTGTTCATGCCCGTTAGATTAGATCGAGTGGGTCATCCTGCCAGTCACCTTTGCTGCAGTGACGAGGTTGGAATTGACAACAATGACACAGCCGTGGGATTTGCGCAGGATCTTCTGCAATTGAGGGGTGCTGGTTGTAGACTCACTCGAAGGAATCACGAATCATGTCTTATCGCAGTGAAATCTGGAGAGTTGTGCTTCGGAGTGCCTTGCCATGTGGCCGCAGTTGAGCTGCACTATTATTAAAGGCGAAAGCCTGCAGGTACACTGGCAAGCGACTCACATTCCAGATGCATTCAATTGCGGTGCTGTGGGCACGGAAGCGGAAGCTTTCGCGGATGACATTCTGCGTCGGTTGTGAAGCATCCTCACGTGCCCGAGCCCGAAGGCCTCCGAAGACATGAGAGTGCGAAGCCTTCGGAAGCAAACACTGCACAAATGCCAGCGACTTCCTTGGCTTGGGCCTGGTTGCGTTGTACTTTGTCGCGAGGGCTTCGCGGAAGCACAGAGGATAGCTTGTGGAAGGCTTCATTCTTGCGAAATCGGACTGGGAACCACATCTTGTCTTAGAACGTGGAAAACATTCCGAGAGGGGAGCCTAATGAAGCATAAGTCAGACAGTACAGTACACTTCTGAAGCCATCGTGGTGGAAAACACTCCAAGTTGGTCAGGAGAAAACGTCCTTCATCAAGTACGATTTGAACCGCGACGGCACCCTCGACTTCCAGGCCACACGGTGTCGCACAGAGGTTCATTTTCTGAAAGTGGATCGGAACATGACTTAAAGTCTATATTGGCAGGAGCTGTGCAAATTGCTCCGTCGAGGAGATCCAAACTTAACGGACATGGAGGCCCCCAGCTCAGGAATTGCTTTTTCAGTTCAACGTCCCCGGTGCATGCGTTGGCAGGTGCAGGCCTTGTTCGATGCCGTTGACAAAGACAAGGATGGCCGGTTGCATGCTGGGTGTAAGGTTCGGAAGCGGCCCGCAAGCATTGGTCCTGGCCTGCAGGACGGGAATGTGGGATTTAACGAGCTGTCGGAGTGCCCCGACTCGAGCTGTTACTTGCAGAGGGAGCTAGTGCCAAGGCATACATGTGGCGAGAGCAGGCAGCTAGCTACGGGACAAACCTGTCTTTTTGCGTCACTTCTCTCTCCTTGAGTCTTCCACACAGGTACTTGCACCCGCCCGGCGCAACCTTCGAGCACTCTACCTGGCGAAGCATGGTCTCTGATAAACATGATTTGTCGAGTTAGGGCCAGTTAGGGTGTATTGGATATAACCAACGTTGCTACTTTGTGTCATTGGCGTGAGGAAAGAAGCTCCGCACTGCTTTCAACCTCTCGTGCCCTGGTCCCGCAGACTATGTTGGCAATGACAAGGTGCCGATTGCAGTGTGGGCAAAACCGAAAGTCCACTCAGTACTCATTACACGCAGCAATTCACACAACCAAACTCTGCTGCTCCTGTTAGACGCAACATGCAGACAGCCATTTCCCTTCAGCCTTTACTGTCACGGCGGGGACACTTTCTGTATAGCTCTCGGAGAGGCCTTGGCGGGCAAGCGCAACGCTCCGCGGGCTGTGATCCCAAGTCAGCGGCGCCTTGGCCCTGACGAGCTGACAGGCACCGTGCTGTGCATCTGATCGCTATTTGCTAAGTAAGTTGGCTCTCGACCAAATATGTGTGTCAGAGACATGCAGTTAGCGGCATTGGCAGCGTTTGCATTTGCATACGTGTGCTGGTTCAGCTTCAAGCACCCGCAGCCCTTCATCTCAGTAGTGAAGCCAATTCTCTGTCGTTCCAAGATGTCCAAGACATCCAAGATTTCGCCTCCGTTCCGCTTCAGGGGTGAACAAGGAGTCTCAGAAACCACGTCGTATAAGTGCCGTCGCCAGCTTTTAAGGAGAATGACCGACCACGGCGTGAACAGTCTCTCCCCTGGCCCGGCTGCCTACAAGGGAAACCACACGGCCAGCGCCTTCCACAAGTCACTTGCCGAAATGGACTTTCTGCGTTGGCTTGACAGGGGGGTCTAGAAGAGGGCATGTGGAAGGATGCTGTAGACGCAAGCCCACCTTTCCCATGAGTTTATCGCATTCAAGACATGTATGAGAGAAAGCACGAAATGATGCAAGCGCGTGTTGTCTCACCAGTTGTCTCAAGGGTGCAAGTGTCGTCGTAGCAAGTTGTGTCAATCGCTCCATGCCCGTTCAACATGCTTGGGGTTCGATCTGATGGACTTGACAGGAGACCTGCTGTTTGTGCACGCTAGCAGTCGCCGGGTGTGCCAATGAGTGTACCGTTCTTCGGGGATATTCCGCAGGCAGTCCCGAAGGGTCACCAAACCCAGCAGCAAGCGCAAGTTCACGGCCGCCTTGGTGCTTCAACGCCTAGCTGGACCTAACTGGAAAGTCAGCTCCCAGCCGAAGCGACGTGTGACAAAGTGAGGAATGCCTACTCGGCCACTTTCGGCACTGCCCCGAAGGGCATGGGCTCTCGCTCCGAGTCTCCAGGGCCTGGATCGTGGCTTGGAGTCGGCTTGCATGTGTTTTTGAGGGACTTTTCGGAAGCTCATTGTGTTGCGCAAGTGTTGCGCATTTAGGTTGTGTTTTGTCCTTCGCTAGCGGTTGCGTGATGTGATGGGGAGTTGGTTTGTCGGCGTCCTGCTGCACTGCGAGAAGCTTTCAGCATCGTTTGCCTTGAAAACTCGGCATTGAAATCTGAATGACATGTAACCATAATAATGCAAGCTTAGTTTCAAGCGTTCTGGCTACGTTGTAGCATAAAGTGATTGGTGATGTCGCATGTTAAAGCATGTGCACATGTGCATATACATAGGTAGGCAAGTATGCATGCTCGAGTGGATGGACGGATGGATGTACGTATGTCTGCATTTATTGTAGACATGTGTTTTTGCATGCAAAATGTGTTGTGCATTTAAGCACATGCATAGTCTGGTTTATTCGTGTATTAAAGTTGCTTCGTTTATTAACTACTTGTGGGCGTGTGGTTTCACGGTGTCGGCCAGCTTCGCGGCTGCGCGTCAGAAACCATGCTAGACGACTGCGTCACCGTGCCCCTATCGCGTTTTCATACAATTCGCATTGTCGTACGAGCTGTTCGCCATGTCATTCTGTTTGCAACTGTCTTATACAATGTAAGCACATGCTGAAGGCTTTTTGCTGATGTTGGTCCTTGCGGCTCAGGTATGCGCAGAATTTCTCAGTGCCTCGGATGTCCCAGAGTTGACATGGAAGGGCGGTCTAGACTAATGATCAATAATGATCAGATCTAGCCGTCAGTTCCATGTATGTCATTCGATCATCAACTTACTGTGGCAAGCATGCTAGGGCTGTCGAGCCAGTTGCAACCAAAGTCTTAAGTCTTCAAACTCATTACGAAATCTTTGTACTGATCTGCGACCTGCTGTGCTGGGGTGAGCTTTGCTTTTGGATTGCTGTGCCCGATTAAATGGCTGAGGTTCTCGCCCATCAAAAGCAGGGCCCGCGAGCCACGATTGGAGCTGCAAGGCGGGCACTCTGCCCCTTGGCCCACGTGCTTTGAAGGTTGATTCCTGGACGCAGCCTTTCTATCTGGCTGTGTTTCCCATGGCATTGTAATTGACAAGTGAGAGAAACTATTCCGGAGGGTGGTTCCCCGGCTTTTGCAGTCTACATTCAGAGCAACGGCGAGTTGGTGGATGTAGCAGGTGCAGATGCCCTGAACCCTCCCTGCCTATCTAAGTTCTACGGTGGAGTGTCCGTGTTGTTACATCCTCTAACCAGTGTCATGCAAGAGCTCACACATCGCAGCAGTTTCCGAGGCTACGAGGGCCAATTGGAGCCATCACCGGGCCCTGCCACCTACTGCACACACGTCCAGCACAAGGCAGCGGAGTTCCAGCACAGGGAAACTTGCGGATTGAATGCTAGTGATAGTGGCCCTACAGCCTAAATAAGCACTTCTCTTCCCGACACCCGAGATGCAACCCCAACGGAGTGCGAGACCGTGATATAATTATTTGTGGGAGGTGAAAGGCGGGAACTACTTCGGCGTGCCGGGACGCATGTCATTGCCCGACCTCCCCTACGAGAAGCGGCAGTTCGCCAGCTGCGACGCAAACAAGGACGCCACCCAAGAGACTTCCTAAGTTTAGGAAAAGATTTAGGGCTTGGGGATGGGTTGGTGGTTGGCCGCTGTGTGACAAGATAAACATGATGCGTCGCCATGCCGTTGTACGAAGCCAGCTTGATGCGACGTCTGTGCAGGATGGAACCTTGGGCGTGGATGAGGTTTACAGCATTTTATGCAAGGCAGACCCCAAGATCTCCGCAGCGGAAGCAAAGCAGATCTTCGACTCGTGTGATCGTGACGGTGATGGCAAGATCAACTTCGACGAGTTGAGGGACTACCTCCACCCAGTGAGTGCCAACGAAAACACGGTCTACAGAAAAGTGATGAGAGATGGCTTCTCCATCAAGTCCCCTGGCCCGCTCGACTACGATGCTTGGCTGGGAATGCAATTGCGGGACATCGCTGGCTGTGTGGACCCGGCGAGCTACCTGTGGGCTAGCCGGGGTTTGATTTTGCAGCTTTTGAAGTGCCTGCTGTACCTGAGGATACCATTGCGCCGCGCACCTCGAAAATCCGAGGCAGGAGAACCTGTTTGCGCAGCACTAGATTCCACGATTTTTGCTGCTCGCTTGGAGTCTGGAGCAGTTGTTTCGTCTCCTCCGTTGTCCTCGACGTGTTCCTCTCTCAACATCCTTGTATAGCCGCGGCAGCACTAGCAAGCCATGCATTCTGGATCCTGGAACAGGCGGTTCAATCGGCCGGGCTCGTCGTTGAGTTTGTGCCTGACCGAGCTGCAGGGAGGGGGGCATCCTTGTCGGGATTACTGGTTACGCCTGCAGTTTCATTTTTTTTTAGATGGGCGGATCTTCTTTCAGTGCTGCTGCGCTATCCTTGCGAGACGTGACCGTGTCTGTGCTTGCGTTCCTTGCAGGATTGGTCTGCCACAGCTCCATTCAAACCTTGCAGTCATGTAGTCCAGGAGAGCAAGCGGATAGGCAAGCATGAGCCTGAGACGTCCTTAGACTACAGAACTTCTGCTCACTGCGGACAAAGCTGACGAAGCTTGCTGCTGGTATTCCTTGCAGACGCTCCTGTAATCTTCTGTAGCTCCACGAAGATAGATACCATACTACATGCACTCTGCGTGCCCACGCCAGCCATGGCCCATGCCGGCAGGGAGCGCCAGCTGCGTGACATGTCTAGCAGTCTATGTAGCCATAGCTTTGCAAGGCTCGAGCGTGCAGAGTGCCACTGGATGCTCCGATGCGATGTTCAGGACATTCTTGGAGGCAGCAGGCTTTCTGCACGGTCGAATTCTTTTGAGCAGGATTGGTTTTAGCGACGGCGAGGGGAGGCAAATCTTCTGCGTGTTGCAACACCAGGATTTCTGTAAGACATGAATCCCACTCCCAAACCATGACAAAAAACTGTTCAGAGAATGCGCAGCTGGCCCCCGCCCGCCCTGCATAGAGTGAACCCTCATAAAGCCAACAACCGCAACAACTGAAGACATGACCTCAATTGAGTCAAAAGCCAACTCATCGACACTCCTGCGTGTCTCCCGCTCAGTTTGCTGTTTATTGCGGGGAGGGGGGGGGGCGGGGCATGAAGCTAGCCCGACAGCTGCGATTCGGACGCCGCGTTTTTTTTTCTCAGTCCAATCTCTTTGCGCCCCAGGTGAGCGGCTGAGCCAGGCTCAGGCCCGCTTGCCTCGACTTTCAGAGGGTTAACAGACAGAAGGATTTAGGTTTTTTACTTTTCAACTATAGATACACAATATATTATATTATATTAGATATTCACTTTCCGGCAGGTCCTTACCATTCAGAATCCAGGCAGATGTCGAGCGCTGCACAGCGCTGGTCGCAGCAGCTCGCCGCGACCTGCAGGACGGTTATTTTCGATGGTGCAATTTCAGACTCAGTTCCAGCTTGGAGTTGTTGTCGTTGTTGTGTACACGGTTGCAGTGCTTTGGTTTGATGCTTCACAGGCAGCGCAGCAGGATGTGCGGTTTTGCTGCCGGTCGAAGAGAAATTGTCCAAATTTGCAGGCAGCCCGGGAACGACAGAAGAGCGTCGAGGCCGAGATCGAGGACAGCTTTCTGTTCTAACGTGTACGATGATGATCAAAGAAAGGGCTGGCTCAAGAGAGGTGGCCGTTGTGATGTCTTTCAGTGCCATACCTCCTGTTTTTGGCATTGGTTACATATACTCCACATCGCCACGCATACTGTCCAATCAACACTCCCGCCGGCTCACCAAAGTAGTCATGTTGACTTGCCGAACGAAGTAGTGATCTCCCTAGCACGGATCGAGGAGCTCCAACAGCAGCGCCACGAATCTGGAGAGGACTGGGTGAAGCAGCAGCCCTGGACCAAAAAGCCTCCCAGCTACAAAGTCTTGGTGTGTCGATGCTTAGCATTCGGATCCGATTGGTTGAAGTTCTGCTGTTTCACGCTTTTGGGCCTGCATTTGCCGTAGTCCTGCTTTGTCCGAGGCTGCGGCGGCTTTGTGAGCAGACTTTCGGTGTGACCGCTTTCCGCAGGAACCAGGAGGAGACCGGGAAATCGGCATGGGCTCAGATTCCTGCTTTCTTGCTTTCTGCTCTGCCTTTCGTCATCTTCACTGCACATCACATCCAAACAGGCGAGGTTGGGTTGACCGTGCGCTCCAAAGGGTTAAAGCAACCGCAGCCTTCCGTGAGCTCCCTGCAGGAGGCTTTGAATGCCATCCTCGCTGGCCGGGATGTGTTTTTGGTGGCACCGACTGGTGCCGGCAAGTCCTTGTGCTTTCAGGTCCCACAGTGGCATGTATTTGGGGGAGACATTGCTTCCGGATGTCCTGGGGATGAAGCTGGGCCTCGAACAGGGGCTTAGACCTGAAGCATGAACGACGCTATGACTAGATTTGAGATTGAGCTTCTTAAAGTCCCTCGGACGATTGTGACACACATCATAGCCAAGTCCCTCGATGCGATGACGTCCATGTACCGTGACGAACACCGATGCTTCCAGGGCGTAAGTATATTTAGGATCACACACCCAGCATATAGCACGTGCACAGTTTCACGGGTTTGAGGCTCCCTCGCTTCTGCGCAGCAATCTCACCGTTGCTGCGGCCTTGGGCGGGCTTGATCAGGACTCGTTTTTGGAGGTCAAGGGGCATCGAGCAGCCTTCAAGTAGGTGGCATTTGAGACCCGTGGTAACGGTCGACCAATTTAGCTTTGCAGAACATGGCTCGCATGCTTGAGTGACTCGATGCAGTCTTGCCAGCTTCCATATTGAATGACGAAGTGGAGTTGTGCATGGCTCAGGTGGTGAGCCCCCTGCTTTCGTTGATGCAGGACTGTCGGTCAAGTCGGATATAGTCGGATGCTACTTACAGTAGAAGATGTTCCGTGGCTGCACAGCCAAGGGAATTTCAGGGCAGGAATAGCAGCCATCCATGCAGCACTTTGGAGATGCGTCGTTTGAAGTTGACTTGTGAGCGTTCCGTCCGTGCATCCTGCTAGCATGTTTCCCAAACCTAGACCTACCACATCCCGACATCAACACCGCGATTCCCTGCTTTGGAGTGAATTGTTATGCCAAGGGTTTGCTAGCAATGTAGCATGTAAAAAATGTCCTTCCGTCTTGATGTCAGTCATGTTTGGCCCCTGCAGAACCCAAGCACTCTGAAACCCAAAAAGATAACTCTACAAGTACCAACCGTAAGCCGGTGTGAATGCATCCAGCACTGGTTGTCTCGAGTGGTCTGACTGTAGTGGAGGTATGTACTCCTTCAAACTCAGTGTGACACATAGATCCGTCGCCTGCCGACTGATATTAACGTATAAGTGGGTTTGCAGTAGTGCCTACTAAGTGTTTCCGCCTTCTCTGACTGGATTTCGAAACCCGCATGCCCTATGCAGGATCAGGTCAGCCCCTAAACCCCAAACCCTATACCCCTAAACCCTAAGCCCTATAACCCCTGAACAATAAAGCGCAGGATCAGGTCATGGCGCTCCAGGCCTTGGGGATCAAAGCGGCCATGCTCAGCAGTGGCGACTCCCGCGAGGCCGGAGAGTAGGCATCGTCCAGACGTCTCCGTGCATACGATGTGTATACATCTATGCATATTTGTGTATAAACAAATAAATAAATAAATAAATATGTATATATATATATATATATTTGTTTATATATATATATATATACAGATATACGGAAGTGTGCGCATGTATGCATGTATGCATGCACGTATGTATGTTTCTATGATACAACAAATCCACAACATGACACGAACTGCAACTTAATTTCAAAATTTTCAACTTGGCAGACAAACTCCCGAAACTGGATGGACCAAACGAGAAGTTACAAGTACCGTTTAGACTACACATGCAGGTGAAAGCTCACACGGAAGCTTACATGTATGCTTGTGCGCTTGTGTCTTATGTGTGCATCTGTTTATTTAGCAGGGTTTGGGTGTCGTTAGATTCCAGCACACGCGCACACGCACACACACGCACACGCACACAAGGAAGCTAGAACAAAAAATGGACAGGCATGCACACACACACACTCTCTCTCTCCCCTCTCCCTCTCCCTCTCCCTCT